GCGAACGAGAATTCAAGACACACAGGAAAAAAAAAACTTTTCAATGCGCCTAACAACATTTTGGGCGACGGACTCGTAATCCACATGGGAAAAGAAAAATTTTTCGTTTACTTTACTACAACATTGACGACGAAGGATTACCTTCTCAGACGGAGAAAGAAAGAAAAAACTTTTGTGCGCCTAACAACAACATTGGCGACAAAGGAATTATGTAATTCATAAATGTAAGAAAAATTTTAGTTCACTCTATAACAATTTTGGCGACAAAGAATTTTTTCTCATAATGAAAAAAAAATAGTTTCGCCATATACAACACTTTGCTACTGAACGTATTTTGGTTTCATATGGAAAAAATTGCGTTTACTCTACAACACTTGTCAACGTGGATTCAGAATTCATACAGAGTAGAAAAAAATATTCACCCGCCATAATACACGAACGTGCGTGGGATTGCGTTCATATTTTGAAAAATAAAATAAAATTCATCACGTTATTTAGTGACGAAATTCATGTTTCACACGGAGGAAAAAAAACAAAAAACTTGGCAAACGTTTTTTTGAAAGATAAAACGTCAACTTAGTGACGGAAAAATCAGTCGTATTCTCAACTGAGAAAAGAATTTTATTTTTTCTCGATAAGACAGTTTGCTCAAATAGGTCACAAATTAAAAATTCGTTTTGGACCCCCTGTATAATATTTAAGTATTGTGTAAACTTTTTGCGAAGATGGAGGAATGCAAAAATATATTCCAGGAATTTTTTAAGTTCCAGACGGAACAACAAAAGACAATATTGGAACAACAGTAAACATTCCAGATACAACTTCAGGAGGATACCTTTAATAGACAAATGCAATTTCAACGAGAAATGGAACAGATGCATAGGGAGTTTCAAAACAAAATTCTGGAAATAACTGAGAAGAAAGAGAAAAATCTACGAAATGATTCTTTCCCAGAGAATACAATATGGAATTCGATTGAAAGATTCATGTACAGTCCAGATGAAGAAATAACTTTTGAAGAAATAACTTTTGAAGAGTATTTTAAAAAATATACAGACGTGTATAACGAGGACTGCCACACGTGGTCTGAAGGAAAGAAGGTTAGACTTCTTTTAAGCAAGTTAGGAACTGCTGAGCATAATAAATTGGTAAACTACATTTTACCGAAAAAAACTAACGAGTTAACTTTTACCGAGGCAGTAAATATATTAAGTGAATTATTTAGTAAAAAGACATCTTTGTTTCACAAAAGGTGGAAATGTTTAAATCTGATGAAAGAGGATGAACAAGACTTCATAACGTATGCAGCTAATGTGAACAAGCATTGTGAAGAATTCAAACTAGCAGAATTAAGCTCTGACAATTTCAAGTGTTTGATATTTGTCCAGGGTTTAGTTTCAGAAAGAGACGCAGAATTGAGGAAATTGGTACTTTCAAAATTGGAAAAAGAACCGAAGACTTCGGTACAGAGTTTGGCAGAAGACTGCACAAGATATGTTAGCGTAAAGAAAGACTCGAAAAAGATAAAACAGTCTGGCATTTCGCATGTAAGGAAAATACGCAACAAAAAAGAAAAAACAAAAACTCCCAAAGCCATGTTTTGCTTGCGGTGAACTTCACTGGTATAGATATTGCAATTTTAGGAATAAAAAATGTTTCAACTGTGAAAGCTTGCACTGCAGGTCAAAAAATAAAAGCAAAATAAGAAAATTAAAGTCCGACGAAGTGAATGACGAAATAACCAGAAAATTTGTTACTGTCGAAATATGTAATAAAAAAATAAAAATGCAACTCGACACTGGTTCTGACCTATCTATCATAAATTTGAATACGTGGAAGAAGTTGGGGAAACCAACTTTAATAATGTCAAATAAAGTCGCAAGGTCCGTGACAGGAGAAAAAATACAATTTATTGGAGAATTTGTTACAAACGTCACGTTAAATAAAAAAACGCGAAAAGTTAAACTATTTGTCATGAAAAATACCACGAACTTACTTGGTATGGATTGGATAACAGAATTTCAATTATGGGATTTACCAATAAATTCTTTCTGTTACAAGGTTGAAAATTTAAACTAAACTAAGCTAAAAATTAGTTAGGAAACTAAAGAGAACTTTTCCTACTGTTTTTTCTCCAGGTTTGGGAACATGTACCAAGATTGATGCAAAATTACAGCCAAAACAAAATGCTCAGGCGGTAGTCAAAAAGAAAAGGAATTTGCTGTTTTGTTTCAATTGAACAGATAGATAAAGAATTGGACAGATTAGAGAAAACGGGTTTATTTAAAAAAAAGTGGAATGGCTAACACCGACAATATCTCCGTGAAAAACAAGCTTCAGAAAAATAAAAAAACAAGCCCGACACCAAAAAAACTGAGGAACAAGTTACAGACAACCAAGGACATGCAGTATTATTAAATGATTTAAGTCAACAAGAATCTACAGAAACTGAGTCCAACTTTAAAAGTTCAAAAGCGGAAGGTTGTTTCTGGTAACGCTTTGGAGATATATATATATAAAAAAAAAAAAAAAAATAATAATAAAAAACCAACCATCACAACTAGATTGCTGCGTCATTGACTCTTATTTTCCAAGTTCCTAACCTTTTGTACGTTGGACCTAATTTAGGAGGACTTATTAGAAATACAAGCCTCCACTGTGAAAATACTCCACAACAAGTTGGCATATTCTACAGCTCCAGTTGACTGGGTAGACACAAGAAAGGAAATATCGGTTTGATATTGTGGATTTAAAATGAGGAATATTTTAATAATAATTGTTTATTAGTAATTAAGTGGACTGTTTGGTTCTGATGAAAGAGCCATGAAATTTAAAGTGACTGATTACAGTACACATTGAAGGGAAGATTGTCCAGAATCATGGTGATAGTTAACGATGCTAATTGAAACTTAAAAGTAAGGAGGATGGGATGGGTGGAATTTGCATGTGGTAGTGTTGGGTTCATTAAAAAGCCCATACAGTAACTAGCAGTAAGGGTTGATTGGAGAGGATAGAGGTGTGGATAGCATGTCACAGGGGGCTGAACAATTTACTTGGTGGTGGTGTTGGATTGCTCATGCACCCGTGTGTGTCTGGCAATAGTATCAATGAAACCTGACCTTGGGATGAAACCATCATGCATCTGCCTTGAACCATTCGATCTAATAAGAGTTGGTTAAATAAGGGGAGATCGCAGTTAGAGAACAAGGAAAAAGTTATAGTGAGAATGCTACAGAATAGCAGAGTATACATCATTGAATTCAACTAAGACAAAATTTATGATGCTGATAGCAGAAGAATGGGAAATCATAGATTGATGATTTAGGAACATGTACCTCATTAATCCCAATTATGCGACGGGAAATCATAGATTATGTGTGCTAGAGTTGTTTAATGGAGATTAGGAGAGAATTAAAGCAGTCAAGTAGAGATATTAACAAATACAGTGTTGCCACAGGCTATCAGTATATCTGATGGAATCTGGGTCATTGCTATACAGAAGCAAATTGATTTGTCCAAGGTATGTAGGTGAGAATCAACTAGAACACTGAGGATGAAACTCCCGTTATCCCTAATAGAACTACACCTGGGAAGTTCAGTGTTTGGAACATCTATCTCAGGCTGAGAAGTAGTATGAAGAAAGGGATTTGATCATAGAGATAGTCAAAAAGAGTTTAAGTAACTGGACAGAATTATGGGAACCAGTGCTAGGAGGATTCCCCGAAGTTACCCTGAGGAAGGTGCTGATGTTGAAATTGGTAGAGAAAATTAGTTTGGAGCAATTAAAAAACAGTTTAAGTACTGTGGGAGAAGAGAGTATGGTCTGGAAAGAAAATAAGGAGACTATAGTAAGTTGGTCAGCAGTGGTGGGTACCCTGATAGTTATTACAGCTATAGTGACAGTGATATAGAAGCTGAAAATGCATAGGAAGAACTCGGCTAACAGGGTCTTTGGCAAGCGTGCAATGACTTTACCCAACCGCACCCTGTCAGGAAGGAGAAGGAGCCAAATCGAATTTGGCTGAAGAAATGAAGACAGAGTTGAAACCTGTTAAAGAGAAAACCAAATCTCCTATTGTGAAGAGAGGAAAATTAACAACAAAAAAAGTAAGTTGTGAAGGGTGCTGCAAACGCCATGATTTGAATATGCATGTTCAACATAAGTAACAAAAGTTTCAAAATAATTCAACTGTATGCCTTAGTAGAATCACCTAACGTATTGGACTCATTGCATAAGATAACAGATGGAGGAGAATGACTTGGAAACCATTGCATGATAACAAAATAACATTGCATAAAAAAAAAGAAAGAAAAGGAATTTTTCTTTTACTGCATGAGATAGTAGAAGGGGGATGATGCATACCAAGTATTATTATTATAGTATTATTGAGATTTGTATGTCATTTACAAGTAAGTGACAGGAAGGTTCAGGGAGAGATCTGACACTGAAAGAATGCTGATAATTTGAAGAAAAAAAAGACTTAAATTAAATCAAAAGTGCACACAAAGACAAAGAAGGTAGTAGATAGATTGAAGGAAATACTGAAAACAAAAAAAAATATACTTTTATCTTGTTTTCTCAATTTGTGAGTAAAGGACTTCTCTAGAAGATAGCACTGAAATCCACTTAGGCATTTGGTTAAAGTGAAGCCTAAGGGACAATGTGAGGGGAGTGCAATAACATCTGTGAGTTGACCAGGCTGGCATTGTTTTGAACAGAGACCACCAAGCTAATCACAGAATAATTTTATGGCTATAAGTAGGTGAAGAAGAGGATAAAGAAATGATTCTATGTCACTTGTTGATAGGGGTGGAAGATGAACATGTTGCTAAAGGAACAAGATTTTCTTAGGCTGGAAAATTTTGGTCAAGTGGGTAAAAGAGGAAGAATTATGAATGAAATGTTATAATTAGGAATAAAAAAAGCAGATAAAAATTTTACAATAACATTAAAAGTAACACCAGTCTTGTGTCAGACATCCATAGGTTGGGTGGAACACCTATTCCCAGGATGGTGGCAGCATGAGGAAGTTGGAGGAAAATGAATTTGCCCACTGAAAGGTACTGGTGTGAGGTGTGAGCAAGAGAAGTGGGGAGAACAAGATGGTGGATTGATGTATTGCTACCGCCACTCCCGCAGAGAGAGAGTGCCTCATATTTGGACATGCAAATTGCTTCCCAGGACAGTGTCAGCAGAGAGTTCTGACTAGATATTTGGAAAATCCTGGAATTGATGTTGGGCGAGGGTCCATAAACTTGTTAGATCAGAGGGGAATTACAGACAGAGAGAGTAGCAGTTGAGGCAGAGACGCACTTTCATTACGCCAAGAGGAGACCATTGCTTTGCCGATCCCCATATGATTTGCTGCCACGAAGAACTTATACCTTGTTCCAGACTATTAGATAAATTGAGTAGAGTGCCCTGATGAAATTGCAAAGTGGAAGGATTGAAATTCTCTATATAACAACAAAGAGAGAGAGAGAAGAAGATGAGTGCTTGGTCAGCATTCTGTTATTTACTGCCTGAAGAAGTCTGACTTAAAGTTTGAAACCTCAACTCTGACTTGGAAACAAAGAACAAAGTGCCATGAAATTAGACTATGAGAGAATAGTCATTAGCCTTCATGCTTGTAGATTCTTATATGAAAAGGTGTTCCTGCATAAACCTCAGTTATATAAACCATGTTGATTTACACAACTTGCTTTTTTTTTTTCTTATAACATCGCTCTGCCTGAATGACACCGATCCAGCAATATCTGGCAATAATTTGATCATTGCCTACCTTGTGATCAAAACAAACACAATGTGGGACAGGGAAAGGTTTGGATTGAAGTGACTAACTTCACAGTTAACTGTAAGATTCAATGATGGACACACCGGTGACTGAGGACAGGACGGCATTGTGATATAGCACAGGGGCTGGGACATTCCACAGTGTTATATTTGGTACCTGTGACCAATGGATTCACCTGTGTGTGACTGCACAGTGTTACATGTATGCAGGTATTGAAAAGTATATATTTTACAGGCAAATGTATTCTCTGATGGAGACTTTCAATTGGGCAAACAGTGAGAAAACAATAAAAAAATTCAGTTACCAGCTGAACAAGAAACTCAGTTTTAATTCTTCGGGAAGATTCATGTTCATTGTCATTTCGCTGAGACAACAAGGAATCAATTTCATCAATGAAAATCACAGTTGGTTGATGACATCGAGCAACTGCAAATAAGGCACGTACTGTCTTTTCGCCTTCACCCACCTGAAAGAAGAAAACAGCTAAGTAAAAAAGAATTAGGGAATTACAGTATTACTCCTATCCCAAAATAATAATAATAAAAAAAAAAAAAAAAAAACATCAACCAGATGGAATTTTTTGCTATTGTTATCTTCTGGCCAAGTGATGTCATATATTATGGATAAGAACAGTTGGTCATATTTTGAGATTTCTGTGATTTAAATATATTCCCTCTTATTAAGCAAAAACAAACACAGTCTTTCACAGTTCATCCCAACAACCTGGGATTTAACAGAAAGCAAGAATGATGATTTTAAAACAATTATGTATTCCAGCTAGAACATTATTAGTGACATTTATACATTATTATTAACTTGAACATGCATATCAGGGCCAACAAGTGAACCAGTGTGAGTTCATCTTCACAGAACACTTCACTATTATACTATCACTATTATAGCCTTATGCCAGACTAAGTTTAGTAAATATAACTGCAATGTATAACCAAATCATATCATGCAGTGATAATGAAACTTATGCTATTTCATTATCACTGCATAATATGATTTGGTTATACATATTTTTCATAACATTTTTATCATTTATTATGTACTAATTAACTAGTGATTCTAATTGAAATTGTTAAATTTGAATACATGACTGTATTCCTTAAACTTAAATAAATTGTAGATTTATTATTTATAATTTTGCTTGTAAAGCGAGAATCTCTATGCATATCAAAGTTGTTTTTTTAGTGCAGCTGATAGGCAACGTCTATAAGTGAAACAGATCTTTAATGCTAAACTATTATTAATAAAAGATAGGCCATTAGTTCTCTGTAAAGAAAAAAACCAAATGCATGGATTGAAATTTATATGCAAATAACTTGCAGCTAGAAAATGCCACATCTGGTCTGGTGCTTCTGTTACATATCTGGAGATCCTTGACAAAATCTAAAGAATTAACAACATTATCAGTCCTGACCTTGCATCGTGGCATCAGTTAATTTACCACTGGTGTAACAGATTCCCTTTGACCATTCTATGAATATTTTTGCAGTAATTGTTCTGATGAGCTTTCTTTTTTGGTAAATTTCACAAATTTAAGCACAGTATTATATTGGCAGCTAGATCTCAATTTCACTGTTGAAATTTTTAGATGTAATTGTAAGTTTTATGCTAATAGTTTCTTTTGCACTTCTCACTTGTGGAACTCTTTTCCAGCTTCTTGTTTTCCTGTTAACTACAATCTTTAAAAATTTAAATGTAACATCAATCATCATTTTTTTTGTCCCCTTGGATCCTGCTTGTTTTATTATCCTCTCTGTTAACTCCTTGGAATAAAATGATTTCATAAAAAAAAAAAAAAAAAAAAAAAAAAAGATGCAGAAACTCAAATATAATGTATTTATTATACTGACCATTATACAGAGTATGTCTAGTAGAATAAATTAAAAATCATATTTATATAAAAAACAAATGCTTGTAAAAACCAGAGTTTGTAATAAAGTCCACTTTCATTTATATTTGTTAACTATTAATTAAAAGAAAGCTAAGTCTTTACTGTTGCATTTTATTTTTGCTGTTTGGAAGTCTTAAATTGTCATGAACAAATCATATTGGCCTGCTGTGCATTAAAATGCAATTAATATATGTACCGAGAAATACATTTTATAAAATTCAATATATATTAACTTTCAAAGTGACTTTAATTAGCAGGAAAACAAAACTTTGGAATCATTGAACATAAAAACTTTTGGTGCATTAAAAAGAGATAAATTAGGAAATGTATGTGGCAAGAATTTAAAAGTTCAGAATTATGTAAGTGACTCAAAATAATCTTACCCATTTAGATGTCAATGATGAAGCACTGATGCTGAAGAAAGTAGATTTTGATTGACTAGCAATACATTTGCCTGTAAAAGAAGAAAAATGCATATAATATATTTTATGAAATCTCTTTAGAAAATGATCAATTTAGGACAATATTTAGATCAACATAATTAACTGGAAAGTTAATACTGAAAGCGGAAAAACAAAAAAGAAATACAAAAGGTTTTGTGAGGTGTTAGATTGATCTTTCTTGATATAATTGACTACTGGATACATACAGTAAATAGTTCATATGGTTTACTCTTAATGCTTTCAAAAGCATTTCTCAAAATTGATAGTATACATTTCACTTCCAGAAATTCTAGAGTATATTATTCTTAGGAATTGTTATGTTGGAATAAAGTGTCGCTGCCAACACATGAGTTTGAATATAGATTGCCAGTAAGTAAACACAAGCAATCACATTATTGAATTTAGTAGACCACATGACCATAGAGGAAACGCATATATGGAAGTTAGTTTGACATCTAGTTGATCTCATTTTTAGTCTATCCTCTATACCAAGGGTCGGCAACCTCCGGCCCGCGAAGGCATTTTGACCGGCTCGCAAGCCTCATTAACAATGACTATTTTAACATGAGAGACGAGGCTTTCGAATTCGACAAAAGGCCTGCTATTATCTTCCTCTGATCCACCCAACCGAATGTGAATATTATGATCACAAAAACACGATCAAAACCCAATCAATCCATTTCAGCGTAAAAAATAAAAACAATAAACATAAAACAAAAATTGAGAGCTGATTTGACCGACTGACCGGTGACAGCGTCAAAGGGACAATGTTGTCTCAGTCGGCTTTCTATTTCATTCCTCTAACAGCGACCCCCCCCCATCGCTTACCCCTGCCGCCTACCCTATAAAAGTTGCTGGAATCTTTCAATGAGCCATGTTCTTATCTTATCATACCCCTCTTCTTCTCAAACAAGTCTTTCACTGATTTTTTTTGCATGCGGCCTGGCTCGACACGGGCCATATGTCATGCTTTTTAAAGCTTAATTACTCTGCAAATAAACTGAATAAAATTAGAAATGTTTTAAATACCGAAATAAAATTCAAATGAATGTAATCAGTGCTCTTCGTATTTACTTATTCAAAATTCATATTGTTGCCTTTGAAAAAAAACTTGTGTTGTGGGAACATCAACTTAGAAATAAAACTTATGCTCATTTCCCATCATTCCAAGCAAGGAAACCACAGGATTCAGAGCTATTTGTGAATGTTATCCAGGATTTGCGAAACGAATTTGTATCACGTTTTGCTGACTTTCGTCTGCATAAAAATGATTTCAAATTGTTTGTTACACCTGTGACGTTTTCCTTCTGGGCTTTATTTTTATTTCTCAACGTGATGCATTTTGAGAAATACGTCCCAGCCGGTAAGAGGAGAAATTACCTGGAGCGACGCGCCAATCGCTTATTTCGCACTGTCTCCTCACTGCAGATAGGTCTTCCAGGGCGGGGTATGAGGCTACCCTGCTGTCCATCCACTCGAAATAAGCGATTATGGGCTTAGGTATGTGAAAGAATCGGTTCTATATTAAAAAAAAACAAAACAATTCTTTTCTCTTTAATTTTTTTTTTTTATTATTTTTTTTTTTTTTTTTTTTATTTCAACAATAACGAAGAAAAAGAAGAGGCAACAAACATTTATGGAATATCAATCTTTTGTATATCTCAGTTAGGATGCGTTCGTATTCCTAGTATAAGGGACAAGGAAATGTCACTTAGTCACTTTTCGGCTTGTTGGCACTCTATCGCCCCTTTTCTTTTCTCTTTTTTTTTTTTATATTATAAACTCTTTTGCTCGCAATGCAAGGGGTATAACTTCTTTTCCCCCGTCTTCCCTTTTTTTTTTTTTTTAACAAAAAAATGATGACAAAAATAGGCGATGGCACCTTCACGTTTTCGTTACGGCTCTGACAGTTCTCGGAGCATGAAGATCTTCATTCAAACTTCCTGACGGTTCTCCGAATAATATCGCTTAGGTTCGCAAACCTTTCCAATAGACAGACGGATACATGTCTCGCAACCACAATCCAAGTACATTAATTTACAAAAGTGAAAAGAAAGACCAACCTCGTTGTTGTATGATTTTCTTTTTCTCCTTTCTCTTGTATTTTCTCTTTTCTTTTTTTCTTCAATTGAGATCCAAGCTTTGCCGTACTATTAACATCAATTTCCTTTCTGTTGATGTTCTGCATGGATTGTTCTTTTTTTTTTTTTCTGTTGCGCTTTCTTCAATTTACGTTAGAAGAATATAACGGAGTTGCACCTATCTTCTTCCAAGTATCAGGGTTTTTGTGTGGGCATCTTCACTCCGGCAGATCCCGACAGCAACTGAATTTCTTTCTCCACTTATGACCTTTGGCCGCTTACTGGCGCGAAAATTCCCTTTGTTCTATTTTTAGCTTGCCCGTGCCGCTGTTTCTGGGCACCTTCATCATCATCATCATCATCATCATTGTCTCTCCTATGGTCGGCTATAATTTCAATTTCTTTTACTGACGACCTAAAATCGTCACACTCTCACCCATAACAAAAAAGAAAAATGCTTCATTTTTCTTTATAAATCCAGCCCCTGGATTGTGCCTGAATCCTCACTTTCCTAGGTGTCTGCTTCTGACTGAACGCACTGAGGGGTTTTTGATTTCTCATTTTCCATCTCCTGGCATCTGGATAAGGTATCCGCCACATAATTCTCCTTTCCCTTTATATAACTGATCTTTAGGTTATACTCTTGTAGGATGAGGTACCAGTTTTGCAACCGTCTGTTTTTGTTCCTCATCCTGTTTAGGAAAACTATTGGGTTATGGTCGGTGTATACTTGAGTGGGAGCTTTCCCTGCAGTTAAATATATTTCAAAGTTTGCCATTGCTAACACCAGTGCTAGGGTTTCCTTTTCAATTGTTGAATAGGCTTTTTGATGCTTGTTCAGCTTTTTAGAAAAGTAGCTGACTGGTCTCAACTGTCCATTCCGGTCGTTTTGAGATAACACCGTTCCGATTCCATTTTCGCTGGCGTCTGTATGCAGGCTGAATGGTTTCTCGAAATCCGGCGCTATTAGCACAGGCTCACTACTCAACATTCGTTTTATAGATTCAAACGATCTTTGACACTCCGGTGTCCACTGAAACCTAGCTCCCTTTTTCAAGAGGTTTGTCAACGGGGTTGCTGTGCTAGAGAAATTTCGCAGAATCTTCTGAACCCCCTTTATGTTTTTTTAGGTTTTTAGGTTTTGGGTCCTTGATACTCTTTTACTTTAATCTCGCTTTCGGACTTATACGCCCATAGCCGACGATGTGTCCCAAGTACTGTACCCTCGCCTTTCCAAAGTCACTCTATTCCAAGTTGATTGTTAAGTTGGCTTTCTCCAATCAATTGAATATTTGTTCTATACTTTCGAGGTGTTTCTCCCATGTGTCGTCATATATGATAATATCATCTATGTAAACGCCCACATTTTGGATGCCTGCTAAACACTGGTTCATCAATCGCATAAAAAGTTGCTTATTGAGTTCTTCATGCCGAATGGCATGACGTTATATTGAAACGTCCGTTCGCCACTACAAATGCTGATTTGAGTTTTGCTTGGTCCGTCAGGGGTACGGACCAATATCCCTTCAATAGATCGCATTTTGTTATGTATTTTGCTTTCCCGATTTGGTCGATACAATCCTCCATTCGGGGATCGGATAGGAATCATCTTTGGTGATGTCGTTTAACTTCCTATAGTCCGTGCAAAATCTGACGGATCCGTCTGGTTTATCCACTAGTACACAAGGAGATGCCCAGGGACTCTGACTGGGTTCGATTATACCGTTTTTCAGCATATAATCGATTTCTCTATTTATGATTTCCTTTTCCTGGGGTTTACTCTATACGGGTGTTGTTTTATAGGTTTCTCTGTAGTTAATTCTACATCGTGATAAATCACATCCGTCTTCCTGGGGATATCTGAAAATATTCCTGAAATTGCCGTATAATACTGGATAATCCTCCTTGTTCTTCCTCCGATAGGTGGCCTAATTTCTTTTTTCAAGTTTGCCAATATTTCGGAGTTACACAATTTTACTGGAGGGTCTTTGACCAATATGCTATCGTCAATCAATTTATCCTCGTTTACGATCGCTTTTACTTGCCCCACAGGCAGTCCATCTTTACCAGTACGCTCCGCATATTTCTTTATCCTATTTATGTGGCATAACTGTGTCTTATTCCGCCGGTTTGGCGTTTTCACTTTATAATTAAGGTTGTCAATCTTTTCCGTGATAACATAGGGGCCTCTGAACTTCGCGTCAAACGGAGATTTCGTTTTTAAAGAAAGAACCATAACCCTGTCCCCTATATTGAATTGTCTCTCCTTAGCCCGCTTATCGAAAATTTTGTTTCATTGTCTTCTGGGATTTATTCAAATGTTAAACGCTAACTTTCTAGTCCTTTCCAGGCCTTTTTCGCAAATTCTCAACATAACCGGATATTCTCTCGGTTGTTTTCTCGGAGTTATCCCATTTCTCTTTCGCCATCTTGAGTGGGTTTCTCATTTCTCGCCCATATACCAGTTCAAAAGGGGTATACCCCAGTGATTCCTGGATCGAATCTCTTATCGCAAAAAGGGCGAAAGGTAATTCTTTATCCCAATCGGTTTGTCTTTCTGTGCAATGGGCTCTTATCATGCTTTTTAGCGTAGCGTGGAAACGCTCTAGCGCGCCTTGGGATTGGGGATGGTACGGGCTTGAGGTCACGTGTCTCACTCCCAATTGTCCGGTGACTCTTTTGAACAGGTTTGAGGTGAAATTTGTTCCTCTGTCCGTTTGAATGACCTCAGGGATTCCCATCTTCGAAAAATAATTCATTAGTGCTTCCACTACTTTTTTCGTGGATATGTTCCGCAATGGTACGGCTTCGGGGAACCTAGTGCTGGCGCACATTATCGTCAGCAGATACTTGTATCCGGACTTTGTCTTAGGTAGGGGACCCACGCAATCGATCATCACTCTTTCGAAAGGTTTCTCAGTTATTGTTAT